TCTCTCTCTCTCACCCACACAGACGCAAGCACTCTCAGTCACTATGGCCTTAGTTCTTCCTAACTCTCTCTTTTCTTCATTCATCTTTCTCATATAAATATATTCTTTTTTTTTTTTTTCTAACTATATGTTAGTTTTTTTTTTTTATTACTGCTGTTTGCACTCCTGTTGTTGTCCGCGAGAGTTGGAAGCCCCACCTCGGCCTACCGGTCCTCCACGACCTCTGTGTGCAGGTTTGCGTCTGTCATCTTCATCCTCATCCTCATCCTCATCGTCGTCCTCCTCATCGTCTTCTTCATCCATGTCAATATCACTGTCACCATCGGGGGCTTCGCCGGTATAGCAGTTCACAGCACAAGGAATAATGCTGGTGTGCAACAGTTGAAGCAGTTGCTCAATCTGTTCATCGTCATCTTCCTCCTCGTCGTCGTCATCCATATCGATGTCATCTTCCTCATCGTCGTCCTCCTCATCGTCTTCTTCATCCATGTCAATATCACTGTCACCATCGGGGGCTTCGCCGGTATAGCAGTTCACAGCACAAGGAATAATGCTGGTGTGCAACAGTTGAAGCAGTTGCTCAATCTGTTCATCGTCATCTTCCTCCTCATCATCTTCCTCATCATCTTCATCATCATTGTCTTCATTCTTCTTCTCGACAAAGATGTTAAAGAAGGAGGGACGAGAAACAGTTACAGTCGTCGTCTTGGCTCCCTTTCCACGTTTTCCACCAACCTTCTTTGTGACTTTCTCTACTGTCAGATTTTTCCCTTCCTTCCACGTGAGTGGGGAGCGGACAATGCTTACACCCTCATCCTTCTGCACAAGACCCAGCATCAGCGACTCTTCTTCAATGAACTCATTAGGTTCAAAAACAAAGACGACAGCAAAGCTTCCATATCCTCCTTCCACCACACCAGAGCGAATATCGGTCAAATGCTTAAGAAGATCCTTATCGTGTTCTTCAATCAAGGAAGCAGAAAGTAAGTGGTGTTCCAAAACACGAAGCCAGAATCCTGGAAGGCCCTTTACTGTATCCTTTTCTGTAGTAACAATATCAACTTTACCTTCATGCTCACTGGGGAAGCCCTTTTTAATTTCTTCCTCAGTAGGCTCACTGGCGCCAGTAACTATTTCCTTACGACGTTCGTATAGTGGCACATAAAGTTCATCGTACTTGCGGCGTAACTCCATTTCCTTTTCTTCAAAGTTTTTATGGAGCTTTTCATATTCCTCATGGTAGTGCATAAGTACTTGTGCACGTTCACGGATACGCTCAGGAAGCTTATTCATAAACTCTGCGGAATAATTGGGATTAAAGTACTTCTGGTAAGATGTTGACATGTCACCATCGTGCATCATATCTTCTTCATCATGCTCTTGAGCCGCTCTGTGCTTTGCTGGCATTTTGGTCACTTCACCTCCCTTTCTCTTCTCTTTTTTTTTTTTTTTTACTTTCCCTTAAGGGTGTTACTTCAGAAAATAAAACAAAAATAAAAATAAAAATAAATCGAAAAATAAATATATAAACAGAAGATAGAAATAATATAAAAAAATTCTTTTGAAATCATATATATATATATATATATATATATATATATATATATATATATATATATATATATATATTCTTTTTTATAAGAGTCAAAGAAAGAAGATATCACTCCTTATTATTCGTACTTGCGCTTTCCTTTCTTTTTCCACAGAAGACATGTGTCACAACGAAAAAAAAAAATTGGGTCCACGCACACACAAACACAGAGAAACACAGACATGTCGTTCTATGTGTTGGTTCTCTTAATCGGTCTTTTCTTTATTTAACAACAGTTACTCCTCCTCCTCCTTTTTTTTATTGTTTTTTTTTTTTTCACCTTGTTCTACTACTACTTCTTCTTCTTCTTCAACACCTCTTTTTGTTCTTTTTTTTTTTCATTTTCTCTTTTTTTTTTTTTTTATATCACACACACGCTCTCTCTCTCTCTCTTTCACTTTCCACCAGTATCTCCATTATAAGGTTCCCTTGATGCTTCTTCAGAGTGCAGACCCCCTACACATACACACACACACACCTTATACTAATCCTCTCTTTTTCCCTTTCCTTCGTTGTTTCTCTTCACCTCGACTGTATATGTAATGTATCGGACTATGTTTACGAGAGTTGGAGGTAGAGAGAGAGAGAGAGAAAGACTGCGCATACCGTCATGTATCACCTTATCCCATATTCACCGCTTCATCCCCGTTTGTCTCCTCATCAGCGATGTGCTCCTCTGGTGCCTCTCCAATGATGTGCGTCTCCGCGTAGGCCCGTGTGCGGCGACGTTCGAGTGCCATGCGTTCCCGTGCAGCGCGGTAAATATCTTCGCGTGGGCGGAACTCCGTTTCGCGTGTGCGAAGATCCAAAATAGGCGCTGCGGCATATCCGAACTCTGCGGCCACACGTGTGAGATCCACGCGACGGGCATCGTAAACATCCGCGGGTCCCACCAGTGAGTAGAGCAGCATGGTAGCACGGTAGGCAGCGTAGGCGGCGTTTTGAATGGCAAACTGCTTCTTATGTAAGGACTGTATTCTCTGTACGGAGAGTAAATAGCGTGTGGTGGAGGGCAGTTGAGGCATAGGCTCAATGTTAATATTAAGTCGTTTTGCGGGTGTTTGGAGGTATGGAAGAGCCGCTTGTAATTCATTTTGGCGCAGTAAGAGTAGAATGTGTTGATACATGACTTTTGGAGGAACTGTTGAATTCACATTAGACGATGTCCCACCAGAAGTATTTGTATTCTTTGAAGAAGATCCTTTTGATCCTTTACGCTCCACTACAGGAGGAGGTGTACGGGAGCGGCGTCGCATAGCTGGATCCAGGGCTGCATCATTATAAGCAGCTGGTGTAAGAACATCACTGACAAATTGAGTGAAATTCACAATATCCACCATAATATCATATTGAAGAAAAATAGTACCCCTTTGAGGTACAAGACCAAAAGCAGAAAGTAACACCACTCGATCTTTTTTCTTATTATTTGAAGACTCCTGATTAGAAGATTCTGCAATAGTCTTGTCAAATTGAGCACATAGGCGTCGTCGATCTTCATCATTATCCTGTACAGAAGCGTAAGAACTACTGCCTTCATAATCTGTAAGTAATAACAAAGATGATGGCAGCTCCCCTAGCGCATACAAGACATCATACATGAATTGAGTAGCCTCTTTGGTAGCGAAATGTACCACAACACCTTGTCCAGAACGGAGATTCATTAAAATTGTATACAGTGTTTGAAATCGGTGAGTACCTTCCACAACACCGTAGTGCATTGTAACAGGGGAACGCATTATAGTAGTAGTAGTAGTAGTAGTGGTAGCAGCGACTTCTGTTTCTTGTTTATTATTGCCGTTACCGTTGCTAGTAGTATTCTTATCATTCTTATTCTTATTCTTATCATTCTTATTATTATTATTATTATTATTATTATTATTATTATTATTATTATTATTATTATTATTAGTAGTAGTAGTAGTAATAGTAGTATTGTTCTCCTCCTCCATAGTAGGAGCTGCTGTTGTTAAAATATCAGCCAGAGGAGCGAGGAGTGCGTTACGCGAGGGTGCAATCACAGCAGCCATACGCGCGTGGCCCAAACAACGCCAACGCTGTCGACACAACTTTTCAAAAAACTCTTGACTCTCTTCATCCTTCATAGACTTAAGAAATGCATTTGTACCAGTCGGTGATCTCAAAAGAACTGCATAAGCTCCAATGAATTTCCAAACAGCACTTCGTGCATCTACTGCGAGAAATGATTGAATAGAGGCAATTACAACCACTGTACGTTCACCAAGTTCCGTTGTCTCCTCATCATTATCATTAACAGTTGGATATGTTGGAAATCGAGAACCATCCAGAACGAGTGTATGTTTAATGTGGAATGTTTTCTTCATATAAGAGGCTAATGCGGTTGCGCTGGCATCATTTTCCACAAGAATTAATAGAGAGGCACCAAGCGAATTGGGTCCTACGTGAAGTGCACGTCTTTGTAATGCTGCCAATGTTACTACAGCAAAAACATCAAGACGCTCCACTATTTCCATTCGCTTTACATAAAATGCATCTTCTTTCTCCATTCCAACATGATCGTCATTATTGCCACTGCTGCTACTGCTAACACCAGTATTACTACTATTATTACTACTGAGATCCCTCACAAGACGTAGTTGATTCTGTCGAAGTTTACGTGGGGCGGTGGGGCAATGCTTCTGCACATACTCAAGCACTTCGCTGCATAGTGGTAAATCTACCTTTGATGTCTCTGCTGTTTCTTTTTCCTTGTTGAGACTACAACGTTGTTTTTGTTTCCGCTGCTGCAGCACTGGTGCCACCTCCTCTGCACGTTTCCGCTTCAAACGTTTCACATCCTCGTCATTTGTGGCATATCGCAGCAGACGCCGCTGTCCACGTGATAGGGAAGACATAGATGAAGACTAATCTATCTCCTTTTTCTTTTTTTTTTTCTTTACTCCTCGTTCGTTTTTTTTTTTTTATTTTCTTTTATGTATACACAGAATAACCAGAAATAAAATAAAATAAAATAAAATGAGACAATCCCACTCAAAGATGCAAGTATAAAACATCAATTCAAATTTTAACATCACTTGACAAGAAATATATATATATATATAAAGATGCAAAATACAAAAGTAAGTAAAAGAAAAAAGAAGGTGCTGCAACTCTTTACCCACCCACCCAACCCCCTTGTTGGGCTGAGCCCCTACAAAGTGTACAAAAACGAAAAAAAAAAAAAAAAAACAAATTCACATCATTTCATCATTGTGTATGTCAAACTGCACGCATTGCCACTACAGAGTCATTCTTTTCCACTACAGCAGCAACTTCTTTAACATCCCTGTCAGCAAGCAAGGCTGAGACGACGATATCTGCAAAAGCCCCATCCGCAGTCAAAGCAACAATATCCAAACAAGAAAGTCCTTCTCTGTTTAATACTGAAATATCAACACCATAATCCATTAAAAGAATAGCAGATGAAAGTATTAAATTCAGTAAAGCAAGACCACTTTCAGATGTTGTATCATCTTCAAGAAACTCTTCCATTACAACAAGTGAACTAAAAAGTACATGAAGAAGAGAAGAGCCTTCTTCATCCACCGTCCACCGAGCCATCGGTACTTCACGCAGCAATTCCTGTAGTGCAGGTAAGTTTAGTTTAGTCACCAAATACATCTCCTCCGAAAGAGAACCAGGAAACACTGGAAGTGTTATTGCTGTTGGTGGTGTATCCGTTTCAGATGCATCCATAGTATTAACAACTGCTGCTGTTGCTGCTGCTGCTGCTGCTGCCGCCATTTCATTTACTGTTTCCACAGATCCCATATCTCCTGATTTCAATAATTCAGCTACAACGGTTTGAGTAGATTCCAAAGGATGGAATAAGAGTTTATCTAACTGAGCATGCATTATTTTTGGGAGAGCTTTATAAATAGGTGCAGGTTCTCCTGCAACATAAGCATGTGAAGAAAGATGAGGCAAAAAACTTGATACATAAACACGAGAACTCAATACATGATTCGCTTCTTCAATGTAACTACGATGATATAATAAGCATGCTAGTAAACGATACTCTCTAAGTGTGGATAATAAATCATAGCAATCCTCTACACGTAGAGAGGAACCATATGTTACAAGTCGATAAGCTGCACGATGATCTTGGGCCTCAAGTGCAAGTACTAAAAGAGCGTATTCCATTGCCCGTGCGTAGACATCAGAGGCATTACTTAAACGTGAACGAAAATAAACAATAAGTTCATCTTTAAAAAGTTCCCATGAACGTTCAAGAAAAGTAGCGGCAGTAACAACACCCCATCCTGTTACTTGACGTCGTTCACCCTGCATTCGACGACTATTGTTTTCTGGTACGATAGGAAAAGTTTCATACGTCTCCAACCAGGCCTTCTGAAGCTCACCAGTGTAAGTGTTATATGGACAGCACTCCTCCCAATGGGCCCAGAAGCCATCATCATCATCATTATTATTACCATTATCATTAATATTAATATTATTATTATTATTATTATTATTATTATTATTATTATTATTATTATTATTATTATTATTTGCAACTGAGTCTTCAACTCCATGATGAGACTCTTTCTCTTCTCCAAGAGGTACATCTTTCTTTGTTTCTGATTTAGGTAAACTACTAGTAACATTAACAGATATATTAGCATGCCTTTTTAAGGTTTTTATTGCTAATAAAGATTTTAATTCAACGCTATAGTCTTCCGGTTGAGGTGGAATACATTCTGGTAAAAGTAGTAATAAATCTCTTGGATCAATGTGATCATTAAAGTGCAACATCGCTTCTTTTGGTCTACAGTGATGTAAGTATGCAAAACCTGCCATAACATGTAATTCTAATTCAATCCCTTGTAAATCAAGAGATGTACTATTACGTTGACTACCTAAAAGTTGGAAAGCCTCTTCCACCTTAAACCTCTCTACCAGATCAGCTAATTGATGACGTAATGAATGTAAACGTGCCATCCAAATTTTTGTTTTATTTGCAGCGTAGAGAAAATCTCCTCTACCTAATTGTGAACTAAATAAACACCCTGGTAATGGTAAACGTGCCGATACATTATCATCATATAAAGAACAAACATCACAATAACGTTCTGTAAATGCGAAAAGAAAAGGATGACGAACTACAAAAGATAATGCTTCATCCTCTAATTGAATGGTACGACCAAGTACCCTACCAGAAGGAAAAGAACGCATAGATACAGAGAATATAGATTGATTATACCGCATAAATACTTCTCCATCACCAGCTGCAAGAAGTGGTTGTCTTCCCCCACCAAGAGTAAGAACACCATAGGAATTTCCATCTGAAAGAGAAAGAAGACTATACTCTCTACGCATACCTATACAGGCAATACTACCATAAGTAACAAGTACCTGAGCTGGTTCAGGAAGTACAAGTTCCTGAGTAAGAATAGCCCGTGCATACTTTCCTTGAGATGCATCAAACTCAAATACACTAAGGCCTTTACCATTAAGTTCAGATGCGCAAATTACATGAAGACCTGAACGTTTAGAATTATTTTTTTGAGAATCTGAAACGTAAAAAGTACCAACACACTCTGCTATTGTTTGAATATGAGAGAAATTTACAGAATCCATCACTACAAGACGATGTTCATAGAGTACAAAAAGAAGATTATGTGTACGACTATGTTGAAGACGCTCAATTGTACGTTGTGAAGTAGATAATGCTATTTGACGTACAATACTAGTATAAATTCTTTCTGAATTTTGTGATGAGAGAGATGTTGAAGTAGGATTCTCTACATTCATAGTTTGACCAGATGTCGAGCTAACATTATCTTTTATATTGTTGTTATTCCTATCATGAGAAGAGTTATTTACTCCTAAAAGTGATGTATCAGACGCCCGTGCACCTTCCACGCAAAACTTTAATAACATACCCCTATTGGTACCAGTAAATATGGTATTAGCATGAGTATCAAAGGCTGAAATTTCTCCATCCTCTTCTGGTATTTCGTACAGTTTTACCAAATACTTCACCGCATGCATTAGTCTTCTGGAGACGGAATGAAAAACAGGAAACTAAAAAAAAAAAAAGAAATAATAATAATAATAATCCCTACACAGAGAGATATTATATACTCAAAACGAAAAAAAAGACACCAAAAATACGTGATTTTTTTTCTTTTTTCTCTTTCTTCTCCAGAGGCTAACTTCTGTAGGTATTAATATGTATATGTTTGGGAAAACTTGTTATTCGTACCTTTTTCTTTGTTTTTCCACCCCCCTCCCCCACGACCTGTGGGACTCTATTCTCCGTTTCTGTCTATATATATATATGTGTCTGTGTAACTCAATGTGTACCAGTGTATAACTATAAGCAGGTATGGACGTTTTCACACACCCCACCTACCGCTAAAACTACACCTTTACTCTTCCTTCTGAATGTTTACTGCTTAGTGATAGAGAGAAAATAAAGAGAGAAATATAAATGAAATTCCAACAGTAAATACAAACCAAAGATCATTTCTTTTCTTTTTTTTTGTCAACTTTGATTGCATAATTTAACCCCTCACCTACCCATCTCTCTTCAGAAGAATTATTCGTCTGGTTAAAAAATTTTTTTTCACCACCGAAACACAGATATTATATATATAATGTGAATACGGACAGTTTCAACAACAAAACAACAACAACAATAACAATAACAACAACAACAACGAGAGAAAGACTGAGCAAAGCGGCAGCATCAATCTTGCTTCCACTGAAACCCACACTTCAGACACTTGAAAAAAGTTGTCGCCGGCTCATCAGCAGAGCGCATCTGAATCTGTACGTAGTGTGCACGATCCCCATCACATGCCTTTTCATCATTCTGGCACTGTACTGTAATCACCTGTCCCCCATCGGCCTCTTCTTCTTCCTTCTTAACAGTCGTTTGTGCCGCATCACTGCTCTCCTCCACCACTTTGTTGTATTTGAGAAAAGAGTGATTCGCTGTGAGTGGCTGCGTGGAGGTGATGGGCGCCACATATCGGCAGCTCGAGCAGGCAAAGCGGTTCGTGGGGTGATGCGGCTCAATCAGCAGCAGTGTGCCGCAGAATGGACAGAAGAACATTTTTAAATCGGTAACACTTTACACAAAATAAAAATAAAAACAGTCTACACACAAAGAAGTGAGAAAGTGAGAGAATCACCCCTCTAAATCCTTCTATAGAAGGAAACTCCTTTCCTTTTTTTTTTTCTTATTTTTGGCTCTTCCAAACACACACACAGACAGAAATGTACACTCAAGAGAAATAAAAATAAAAATAAAAAAACAAGAAAAGAGAAAAGGGAAAAAAAAAGAAAAACATAACAAAGAAACAAAGAAAAAAAATAGTAATAATAATAATAATGGTTGTTTCCTTTCGTTAACTATTTCCACAAGAGAGATTTCCAGGTAACAAAGAGTATGAATTCACCACTCACACGTACACACATATTATTATAAATAATAATAATATCTGAACAGCTAGAAAAAAGCATATATATATATATATATATATATATATATATATATATATGCGTACGCACGTGTATGTAAAACAAAAACGTATCAATCACATACGCTTACACACACAGAGAGAAATAGAGGTGGAAAAAAAAAAAAAAAAACGCAGAGA